TTCCATAAAGGGTATACTTAATTAAAACCCTACTTCAGTTCCATAAAAGGTATGCTTTATTACGTGCAAATTGGGTACAATGTAACCAGAATAGCTCCAGATGCAGCAGTGTGGGCCAGACACAGCTGGAAGAATGTCCGCTCACGTGCATCCCCAGGCCAGGAGCGGTGTAAACTCAGATGGCTAACCTGGCCAGGGACTAAGGCGCACTGGAAGGGACGTCACACCACCAGAGGGGTAGCAGAAGTCAGGCACTGGACGTGGACCACAAGCTGGGGCTGGGGACAATGTGGGGCTGTCTTTCAGGGGTTGGGCTTGGCCCCTTAGTTCCAGTGAAGAGAACTCTTAAGGCATCAGCATACGTAGACATTTTGGACAATTTCATGCCCCCAACTTTGTGGGAACAGATTGGGGATAGCCCTGTCCTGTTCCAACATGACTGCGCACCAGTGCACAAAGCAAGATCCATAAAGACGTGGATCTCCACGACAAACGTGTAAGTTTGTAGTGGAGGAATGTGACTGACCTCAACCCGATAGAACATCTTTGGGATGAATTAGAGTGGAAAACTGCAAGCCAGGCCTTTGCGTCCAACATCAGTGCCTGACTTCACAAATGCACTTCTGGAGGAATAGTCAAACTTTCCCATAGACACACTCCTAAACCTTGCGGACAGCATTCCCAGACCAGTTGAAGCTGTTATAGCTGCAAAGGGTGGGCAAACTCAATACCAAACCCTACGGACTAAGACTGGGGTGCGTTAAAGGTTATGTGCATGTAAAGACAGGTGCCCCAATACTTTTGCCAATATAATGATATATATATATATATATATATATTATTTAGAGAGAGAAAGAGAGAGAAAGAAAGAGGTCGGCCATGTGTTTGCTAAGAAGCATTGTCCTGAAAAGCATAGTCACTCCATTCCCTGTAAAGGGGCTATTGCTTAGACTCTTCACTGAGGAAGGCACAAGCTCCTTGATACTGTACTGCAGAACCTGTCCACTATCTGCTACACAGGGACAGTGGTGTTCAGTGTTTCAAGAAGCCTGGTAAGGCTTAGTTTAGTGTCCTCAAGTTTATTATACCAAGTTCTTTGAAGTATCCTACCTTCCCCAATCCCCATCCAAGTTCAACCCTTTATAAACATCAAAACCACCAACCCTAGATGGATTTGTGAGCAAAAAGAGTAAATGTGCATATGTGCCTGGCTGTGGGGCATTTTCAGGAAAAGACTCAGGTACCTAAAAGAAATGCTGGCTCCTACAGAAGACCTGCTACATATATATAGATTCTGAATAAAATAAACATGATCAAAAGATAAAATATTTTATTTAGTTTAATTTAAACATAATAAAAAAAGCTAAAATGGATCAAATCTTTATAAAAAACACTTCTGATGTATACTAACCTACATGTTATTACATTTAAATGTAATTGGTTCCTTCCTTACAATAGCTATTCATATAAGGGAATGTAATAAATAGAGGATATTATGATTGTACTTGGTCCAGGGAGTTTTCCAGTCTTGGGGTTTTTTGAGTTTAGATGGCATTTTCCTGGTCTTAATTGGCAGTAAGTTACTTCGCATATCAGTATTAGTTTATAAAGTGTACTAAACAAATTGTCTTATTCAGTATCCACCCAGTGTAGTATAACATGTAAAAAAAAACTTTTCCTAAAACATTTTGATAAATAAATCCCAGTTAAATTGGTCATATATATTGAGATTTAAACAATGATATTAAACAGAGATATTGCCATACACAAATCTTCCGCCTCTGATGATTATGGTTAGCTAATACATATCTAATGGAGTAGTGGCCTCCAGCCTCCCTATCAGTCTTATACAAACCTGTACTTGACACAGTAAAATATCATCTACACAACTTGTGGATGACACCAGCCACTTGTCAAAATCCTTTCAGCCAGTCTGGGCATGCACTCTGTACTCTCCATTTAAAGTGTTTGTAAAGGCTCAAGGTTTCTTTACCTTCATGCATTCTATGCATGGAGGTAAAAAAACCTTCTGTGTGCAGCAGTGCCCCCAGCCCCCCCTTATACTCACCTAAGCCCCCTCTTCATTCAGCAATCTTGGCAATCCTGGGACTCCCTCTCCTCATTGGCTGAGAAAGCAGCAGTAGCCATTGGCACCTGCTGCTCTCAATCACAGCCAGTGAGCCAATGAGAAGAGAGAGGGGGTGCAGCCAAGCCGATACTCTGTGTGTGAATGGACACACAGAGCAGTGAGTACCCCCATAGCAGCAAGCTTCTTGCTGTGGGAGCACCCGACAGGAGGGAGGGGCCAGGAGTGCAAGCGGGGGGGTCCAGAAGAGGAGAATCCTCTCTGTGCAAAACCACTGCAGAGAACAGGTAAGTATGATGTGTTTGTTATTTAACCACTTGCCTGCTGGGCACTTATACCCCCCTTTTTTACCAGGCCAATTTTCAGCTTTCAGCACTGTTGCACTTTGATTGACAATTGCGTGGTCATGCAAGATTGTACCCATATGAAATTTTTATCATTTTTTTCTCACAAATAGAGCTTTCTTTTGGTGTTATTTAATCATCTCTGGGTGCTTTACTTTTTGCGCTATAAACAAAAAAATTGCAAACAATGTGAAAAAAAAGTGGGTTTTTTTTTTCGTTGTTTCTATTATAAAATTTTTCAAACAGGTAATTTTTCTCCTTCACTGATGTGCGTTGATGAGGCAGCACTGATGGGCACTGATAGGCAGTACTGATGGGCACTGATAGGCAGCACTGAAGGGCACTGATAGGCAGCACTGAAGGGCAGCACTAATGAGGTGGCACGGATAGGCGGCACTGATAGGTGGCACTGATAGGCGGCACTGATATGCGGCACTGATAGGCGGCACTGATGATGGGTACTGATAGACAGCACTGATAGGTGGAACTGACTGGCATCACTGCTAGGCATTGACTGGCGCAACTGCTGGGCACTGGCTGGTCACAACCGCTGGGCACTGACTGGCAGCACTGCATTGACGGGCACTGGTGGGTAGCCCTGGTGGGCACAGGTGGGTGGCACTGCTGGGCACAGGTAGGTGGCACTTCTGAGCACAAGTAGGTGACACTTCTGGGCACAGGTGGGTGCACTGCTGGGCACAGGTGGGTGCACTGCTGGGCACAGGTGGGCGGAACTGGTGGGTGACGCTGCTGGGCACCGATCATCAGAGCACTGATAATCAGTGCCCTGATGATCGGTGCCGATCCGTGCTCTGACAACTGCTGGTTCTCGGCAGTATTTTCCTCGCGCTCTGACAGCGTGAGGAAAGTGCAGCCGAGAACCGGCAATTGTATTTCCCGGTGATCAGCGTGTCATTGGACACGGCTGATCACGAGGTAAAAGTCCGCTGTGATTGGCCTTTTACCACATCACGTGATCAGCTGTGTCCGTAGGACACAGCGATCGCGGAGATCTCCGGGGGCGTGCCCCCAGGGGCGCGCAGGAGAGCGCATTCTGGGAGGACGTCATATGACGCCCTCCCAGAACTGGCCGCAGTGTAGCCGTCATTCGGCTATCTGAGGTTGGCAGGTAGTTAAAAAAAAAGTAACCCTTTAATATCACTTTAATTGTATGCTCCATGCTCTATTGGAGTTTAAAAAATTAGTTTGGAAGGACTTGACCTTTAAATTTACTTGATGTTTTCAGACCATGGCATTAAATATCCAATAACAAATAATTACTTTGATTGCCAACTTTGGTACTGCAAAGAAGGTGCTCAGAAAGTTCCAGATCATATTCCACTGCTGCCTTTCCATCCATTTCTTGCTGATTTCAGTTGTTCTAGAGCAGGGGTCTCCAAACTCTGGCCCAAGGGCCCAGATATGGCTCTTTGCTACCCTTTATCTGGCCCTTGGGGCACTATTCCTCCCACTGAGACCAAGCATGGGGCAGTACTTTTTCCCATGAAACCAATAATAGTGTACTATTCTTCCCACTAATACCAATGGTTGGGCACTACTCCTTATCCTACTGACCAACAACACTGAGGCCATGTTTATTCTCACTGATATTTTCTATCCTCAATGGCCCTAATCCAGCCCTCCTAAAGTCTGAAGGATAGTATACTGGCCCTTTGTTTGAAAAGTTTGCTCTAGAGGTTTTTATTCCCGCCCTATACCTCTACTGAGAATGTTCTAGGATAGCGGAACAGAGATATATATTTCCTTTTTTACTCTAAACTAGTTAGTCTAAACTAAGTAGGGTGATCCTCTCATGTGGAAATATGTTTATTCCCATAGCTTGCACTGGCACTAAGATGCAAAGCCAGATGATTATTTATACTCTTTATTCACCAGTGAATCTGGAAACTGTCCGTGTGGAGACCACACGGAAAATATAATATTGACCATTACAGATGGATCTACAGTATGGATAACATTTGTGTTGCTCTGTCAAAGTTCACCTAATTATAATTATAGTTCCTGTTTGTTTGAGAGATTTTCACAAAACTGGCTGAATCAGCAGCTTATTGTTATTATTACAGTAAAAAAAATAAATGTATTTATATCTTTTATGTATTAAGTATTCTCAAGTCTACCTGAATAAAACATAAAAAAAAATAACAAAACCCATTTAACCAAAATTCATACTAATTTGCAAAAATAATTACCGTTAAAATTTCTAGTATCAAAGTACAAAATACATTTTTCTAGTTGTACAATATCGTATATGTTCTTCATTTTGAAATCCTTTGCAATATTGACACACCCAAAGAACATATATTATTTTAGAAATGTACATAAATAAAATCATAAATATGTATCCTAGGGAGTCCAGACTCCCCACTGTATTCTCAACTTTTCTAGGAGAAGCGGTTAGTGAGCAACTTCAAGATTTGCAAACCAAGTCTTGTTTTTGTTATTTTACAAAGTGTACAATACACATAATTATCTTTACAAAAATGCTCAGTTATTCACAGTTAAATCTTTCTATACAAAAATCTATCTGCTCTACACATACTTTACAATAATCAAAGTTCATCTCGTGATGATGCATCAATTGTTGCCTGTGGTGATAATGCTTCGGTGTTCTGAGCATCAGTGTGTATTTCACCTTGTTGCCTTGTCTTTCCTGAGTATCTTCTGTCCCAGTCTGTTGATAAAGTTTCATTGTCCCATATAGTGGATGTTTCTGTGTCACTGAAGTATCCTGGCTGACCTGTGTAATGAGTAGGGTAGACAAGCAAGGGCTCAGAGGAGAAGGCCTTCAGGTTCCGCAGATTATAAAACTCCATGTATGTTTCTCTAAAAACACAAGAGTGGATCAAGTTAACCTATGAAGATACACACAAACTAAAAGCCACCTTCAAATAACACTGTGCAGATACGTTTGTGTTTTGAGAATTTATTTTGGCATCCAAATGCAGTCAAATAGTTTACGTAATTTTAGCTGATTAAATGTTGATACTGTATCAGATGATGAAAAATTAGTTACAGTACATTTTAAAATAGTTAACATGTTTATTGAATAGATGTTTCAATGGTGCATTAGCCATCTTTTTCAAGACATGTGTAGCGATCTGCTGCTCTCTACTGTCAACCGTTAACATCCCACTGTACTGTAAAATTATAATTATCACTTCCTGACTTGGGGTTGTTGGGAAAAAAATCCTGGAAGAAGGAAGTGGAGAGAGAGAAGGTCCACATGTCCTGTCCATGCTACCAGTACCAGATCAAAAGAGATGAGTATTGATAGATAACTTGGTCTATATTCCAGACTAGTTAGGTAATGGCTAGAGGGTCCCTTCTCATCACAGCAGATCTTGTCAACCGGACTCTGACACAAAGACAAATGCTGTATCATCCTCAGGGGCCCCAGCAATGCGTGTTTTGCTGCAAAAGATATCTCTATGAATAACTATTCTAAATATACTGTATCCTGATATATGTGCACAGTTTCACTGATATCAGGTCCTTTGCTGATAATATCTTTGCACATTAAATGTTTGTACTGTTATTAATCTTTCCTTATACAAAGCTATTCCTTCTATACCGGAGTGCATCTATATGCTTATAGTTAATGTTATATGCTGGTTGCAGTAGTTCTGTTGCTTCCAATTACTTTTATTACATTACTGGTTCATTCCACAGGAAGGGAATCCTGTTCACAGAGGTCCTGTCCTGGGTGGAGGCACTGACAAATGTATTACCAATCCCACTCTTCCACTTAGCGAAGGTTCTGGTTCTTTTATTTACTGACAGGTTTAGCGCTACATCCTGTTTGGGAAGGGCCATTTCTCATACCCCCAAAAGGGCTACACGTGTGTCTTGAGAAAGTCAGCCTGCTCACAGTCAACATGCCGATATGCTCAAACATTGATGAGATAAACCTTGCTGATATGTGCTAGCTGCTGTTTCAAGAGCTATGAGTACCTCCAACACATCTGGATTTTTGTAGCATACACCTGCTACCCTGATATATATATTTATATACATATATATATATATATATATATATATATACACACACACTATATTCTTTACAGTGACCAGTGAAAGCAGCACAAAAAATCAAATATACCCACAGTGACAAAAATAAATACACAGTTAAATATTGTGCTATAACAAATAAATATAAATATATAAAAATCAATTAAATTAAATTAAATCAGTAAAAGTCCAATTCTTTAAACACATAAATACTTCAAACAAGTCCACCAAAAAAAAATTTATAAAATGTGATTGAATAAAAAAGTCCTTCTGATCCACTAAAGTCACCACATGAGCAAATGAAACTCATTGAGTAAGTGCATGAAATTTTACTCAAGTGTCACCACGTGCTGCAGAGTAAAACCACCCCAAATTCAGTGGCACTCATCAGATATCATGGCCCATCTAAACTTGATAGGCAATCGCGCTTATGGTGAGCGTCAGACGTTATGAGGATCTTCAATCACTTAGCCCCTCGGCAATTAAAGGCTGATTAGATGGCGGGACATCCTCCAAAATATTTACTTCATCACAAGGGAAAGAACTAAAAGAGAGCTCATAGCGTAATTCCGCTAAAAAACATTTATTATATAGAAAGTAATGAACTCACATAGGAAAAATACAAGCATGCCCAACATCAACAATATCCATGGAAGGTAGCAGTGTATCATATAGACAGCACCTCACCCGATCCTCCTCGCTGCTCATGAGCGGTACGGCACTTTCACTGGGGGATGTGAGGTGGATGATGTTACAACAAACGTTGTGCAGTCGTCGGACCATCAAGGAGTGTCTCTTCTAAAGTCACTACTCAGTTTAGCTGGTTAGGTCATTGAATATGACATATGGATTGATTCATATTTCTCAGTAGACTTTAATAAGTTGTTTAGTGGGGCAGCACAGTGGCTAAATGGTTGGCACCACCTGCCTGGAGTTTGCATTTTCTCCCTGTGCCTGCGTGGGCTTCCTCTGGGTACTCCGGGTTCCTCCCACACTCCAAAGACACGCTGGTAGGTTAATTGGCTCCTGTCTAAATTGGCCCTAGTATGTGTATGTATAAATGTAAGTTAGGGGCTTTAGATTGTACTCCCCTTGAGGGTTAGGGACTGATGTGAATGTACAATATATATGTAAAACACTGCATAAATTAACAGTGCTATATAAGTATCTGTAATAAATCCAAATATTGTTAATGCTAATTTCCATCTGTCCTTTTCTAAAAAAAAACTACCATTTATATAATCAATAAGAAACCCATCTTCTACTAAGATTCAATGGCACTCTAAAACACATATATAAGATGGCTATTGTTTTATATTATATTTTGTTCAAATTTAATATTATATTGTATTCTTTATACTCTCCTTATGATATCACACAAACTTATGCTTTATAAAATTTAAATTTTTTATGATATGTTTCTACTTGTTATCTACATTTCCCTTTTACCTCTAAACTCATAGAACGCCTAGTCTACAATCACCTGAGTTCCAACCCCACTGACAACAGTCTTCTTGACCCTCTACAGTCCAGCTTTCGCTTACTCCACTCCACTGAAACTGCCCTACTAAAACTCACTAATGATTAGCTGCTAAAACCAATGGCCACTACTCCGTACTCTTACTACTTGAACCCTCTGCAGCTTTTGATACTGTTGACCAACCCCTCCTAAAAAAAAACTCCACTATCTTGGCCTCCGAGACTCTGCTATCTCCTGGTTCTCCTCCTACCTATCGCATCGCTCCTTCAGTGTTACCTATAACTCTGTCTCCTTCTCTCCACTTCCTCTTTCTGTAGGAGTCCCTCAAGGTTCTGTCCCTTGGACCCCTTCTCTTCTCCATCTACACCTCCTCTCTTGGTCACTTGATAAACTCCCATGGCTTCAAGTACCATCTCTATGCTGATGACACACAAATCTATTCTTTTCTTGCTACTCCTCACCTCACCCCTTCAGTCTCCTCTTGCATCACTAACCTACTAAGTGACATATCTGCATGGATGTCACTCCACTTCCTCAAACTCAATCTTTCTAAAACTGAGCTCATACTTTTCCATCCAGCCCATGCCCCCTCCCCTGACTTCTCCATCAAGATCAATAATACAACCATCAGTCCCTCCCCTCATGCTAAGGTACTACATAAAATCCTGGACTCCCATCTGTCCTTTCAGCCCCAAATCCAATCACTGTCCAAATCTTGTAGACTTCACCTCCGTAATATCTCCAAGATATCTGCCAATCCCTCCACTGGCTTCCCATTGCCCAAAGAATAAAATTCAAAACATTAACAATAACAGCGATTTATAACTCTGCCCACAATTACATCACCAATCTTCTTTCTAAATATCACCCAAACCATACTCTCTGCTCCTCCCATGACCTCGAGCTCTCTAGCTCCCTTGTTTTCTTCTCCCATGTCCATCTCCAGGACTTCTCCAGAGCCCCCCCCCCCCCCATCCTCCGGAAGTATCTACCCCAATCTATTTCAATATTGCCTAGTCTGCTCACTTTTAGGCGATTTCTAAAAACCTATCTCTTCAGGGAAGCCTATCCTGCCTTCAGCTAATAACCAAATCTTCTATTTCTCCCATCAGTTCGTCCCCCACAGTTATTACCTTTTGGACCACTAGCCCCTCCCTCTTAGATTGTAAGCTCCAAGGAGTAGGGCCCTCTTAACCCTCTTGTATTGAACTGTATCATTTTATATATATATATATATATATATATATATATATATATATATATATTATTTATTATCAAGTATATGTATCTCCCTTTATATTGTAAAGCGCCAAGCAAACAGTTGGAACTATATAAATCCTGTATAATAATCTACATATATATCAGGATGTATCAGGATGTGTTGTCTTCCCTTTATTTATTTTCATTTCAGGTACTTATATAGCACTTTCAATTTATGCAGTGCTTTACATATATATTGTACATTCACATCAGTTCCTAACCCTAAACAGGCATACAATCTAAGGTTCCTAACTCACATTCATACATACACATAATAGGACCAATTTAGACAGGAGCCAATTAACCTACCAGCGTGACTTTGGAGTGTAGGAGGAAACCAGAGTACCCAGAGGAAACCTACGCAGGCACTGGGAGAACATGCAAACTCCAGCCAGGTGGTGCTGTGGCTGAGATTTGAACCAATGACCCTAGCACTGCCAGGCAGAAGTGCTAACCATTTAGCCACTGTGCTTCTCCTTAAAACAAAAATACCATACAGCAAGGAGAGGGTCCATTTCTTGTAGCATTTAAAGTGGCATGGAAACATCACAAATTCTTTAAATTACAGTTTTAAAATTGTACAAGGTAATTAGTGATGAGTCGAATGTACCTGGGTTAAGTTTGGTAAATATTCAGGAAAGGTTATTGAAGTTCAAATTCAGAATCCAAACACCACTGAAATCAATGGTAGCCAAAAGTTCCATTTCAGTAATGGTCATTTTTTAATCTAAAAGTTAAGGTGAAGCTATTTTAGAGTTCAAGATTGGGATGCCACTTTGGAGCAGCTTGCAGGGCTACAAACAAATATGCAATTCCTTAACACACTTGGGTGATGCCTTAAAACTGTATGTGGATTTATAGAACATTTTTAGGAAAGACACCATATTCTGGCACTACAAAAATTGCATGTATAGTAATTTTCTTTCCTTTTCATAATTGTTTAGCTCACATAAACCAGTAGCCAGCCAATATGATTGATTTCCATTTTTTGTAGGAGTTTTTTGCCAAAACAACAATTTTTTTGTGTAGCAGTCATAATTGAGTGTTGAATGCAGCAGAGGCATTATAGCCATAAACTAAAACTGTAAATGTCATAGAAATTGCCAAAACAGGGGCAAAACAAACCATACTCCACAAACCCACATTGCAGAGCGGAGGCAGTTGTTATCCTGAAGAGAAACTGCCCTGTCCCCCAGTGGGCTGTGAATGATATATTACTTTGCTGTTGACCAAGTGGTTCAGCGATGTAGAAACATTGGCTTCCAGATGATGGTGAAGAGCAGGGATGGTCTTACGTGCAAAGAAATGGCAACCAGGAAATTGCCACTGTGACACAGCACAGGCTGAAAATTCCCTTAAGAGGACAGGATCCATGAGTTAGAAAAGTAGGAATTGTAAAGCCAGCAATTGATCAAGCTAGCATTTAGTTGCTAGGCATGTGGGCAGTTAGTGGTGTATTTTTTTTTTTTTTCACTCTAGCAGCTGGGGCAATGAAGCTTGCCTGCTTAATGCTACAGATTTTTGGGTGGGGTTAGCAGAATCAGAGCAAGGTTGCAGCCTACACGTACCCCTACTCTGCATGCTCCCATGCAGACCTTCATCCCTGTTGGAGGAGCCACAGGGTCAACTTAATATATCATCATCCCTATTCCTGGAGGCTGTTGATAGGGAATCATGTATAGCGGGTGTAGAGGTGAAAATGGAGGAGCTAGAATGAGGGACAAGGAGGAGTGTTGTCCTTTTCCTGATGACTAGCATTTTTGCGTTGTTCCCAATGAACTGTGTGGTGAGAGGCCATGTAGAACAAAGAGAAGGCGGTTCCTTTGAGAACGTGTGTGTGCATAAAATGCATCAGGGAGGAGCCTACGTGCTGACATCACGCCGCCGAGTCCATGTTTTTGGTCCAGCGGCCATCTTTGTAAGTGCAGTCGCATTTTTTTTGTTCTATGTGGAGTGTATTTGTTTGTATTGGAAATTAATAAAATACTACACTAGATAGCTCCATCTTGGGCTCTGTGTGGTGAGCTCTCCTTATTTAGGACACATTACTGAAGGTCACATATGAGTCCTTGAGAGCAGGAGATATCCATCCTTGGAGGATTTTTACTACAAGCCTGTATACTTAAGTTCTGGTGAGTGCATAGTGGTGAAGGATTTCACAGCTGTCTTATTTCCACATTGGGATATCACTTCACTCTATTCAGGACTGCGGTTCATGCTAATTGTGGGTGCAGCCCTTTATGCCACTGAGCACCTTTTGCATGGAATATTATTGGATCAAGGACTTCTTCTTTTATTCATTTGGACTATTTGTTGAGCCACTATTATTTATGATTGCACGTTTCATAATATATTATTTTTTGTATATTTATCGACTTGATATGTAGCAACATTCATGGGCTACTGTATCACATTTCCTCTATATGAATTGATTGTTTTTTTGATTTTCAGGTATATACACTTATCATTATTATCTCATATAGCGCAGCACTTTTGGTATGTTTTTTTATTACGATATGGAGTGGGTTCACTATTTGTGCTATCTGCTCCCAGTTTTTTCTCTTAATGCTCACTTTACTGTATACAGTTTTTGTTTATTTAATCATTTTACTATGAATTTTAAGCACATCCAACAGGGCTGGATCTAGCCTGTCCAATGTGTGGGTCAGTAAAAAATGGCACCGGGGCAGAGGATAGGAGACCAGCAGGATAGAAGACAAGAGTCACTGCTGGCAGTGAAAGCAGAAAAAACACCTTCTGCACTCAGGGACCCAGATCAGAAGTAGGTGGATGGATCAACCTCTATGGACGTTCGTCCACCAACGGATCAAAGGTTATGCAGCTCTTAAATAAGGCTGGGGAAGCCCGACCAATACTGCAAATGAGAACAAAAGAAAGCGCACCAACCTTGCGCATTACCTCAGTAAAAAGATGTGATTAGCTCTGATGAAGAGGGGATCTCCATTTGAAACATGTCAGCCTTATTCTGAGAGTCTCCCTTTTTTGTTGGGATTCACACTTGTCTCGTACTCCAGTGTTCCAATCTTGGACTCTATATGCATTTTATATTGCTACATTTGTGAGTATACCTCTTATTTTAATAAAATCATATCTTTTTACTGAGGTAATGCGCAAGGTTGGTGCACTTTTTTTTTGTTCTCATTTGAGTCCCTGCTGGCAGGGTAGAGCACAGGCAGCAGAGCTCCTCCTTCCCACACAGTGCATACCAGAGATCAGTATAGAGTCAGTCAAGGACAGTATAGTGTCAGGCTAGGGCAGTGTCAAACTAGGGCGGTAAAGTATCAGATTAGGGCTGCATAGTACCTATTTACATAGTACCTATTCAGGGCAGCATAGTACATATTTACTGTACTGTTTGTTACATAAAAAGAAAATCACCTTATGCAATGTTTTTTTTTAAAGAAAAAGGTACAGAGAGTGCTGAAAAAAGTCCCATTCTACTTAGAATGCTTTCAGTTCATTAGCCCTCCAGGTTAGAGCACTGCTCATCTGATTCATGCCAGACAGTGAATTGCAAGCTTTCCAAAACAACAGAAAGTATTTTTGCATTCTCTATGCCCTATAAACATCACTTGTTTTTCTTTTATATATTTGTGAGAGCATCAGTCCACCTTAAGTAATGGCTTTACTTACACTGGATGCTTGTTATACATCACTGGAAGAAACTCATCCACCGGCAGCATTTTGTTCAAAGGTTCCGCATCAACAAGTTTCCGAGCTCCTTGCTGGGAGATGGCATAAGCCAGTGTCCAGTATGAATAATCAGCTTCAACTAAATTCATTATATTGGGAACAGCTTTCTCAGGGCGTTGCACTTGCATTCTTTTCCTGCCAATGTAGCTTTAAAAATCAAAAACAAATATACATTAAAACAATTACTAAAATTGCTACTTACGTGGCATGGAAAACATTATTGCATGCTTCCATATACACATACCATAGATACTAAACTTTCTTTCCTGTCCAATGAGATCAAATTGACATCTAAATCATACTAGGCATATTTATTTAAATCCAGTTCTTGTGTTCTACCATGAAGGTCATTTCTTAGAGATACCTTAAAGCCTAAGTTTAGTTAAAAAAAAACAAACAAGGGACATTACTTACTATCAATACAACTTGTCCCTTGTGCCGATATCTCCTTGCTTAGTTGAAATCCTCCTCCTCCAATCCCTCCCAGCCCCGCTGCTGTAATATTCTGGTGTGGTGGGAGTCATTAGTGCTGAGGGAAATTTGACAGGCACTCACATAAGAGTTCCTGGCTATGCTCACCATTTCCGTCCACCTGTACTATCACTTCTATGAATGAAAAACAATATATGAATGGAGGAAGAGGTGGATAAACAAAAGGTCTGCCTCCTCCATTCATTGATCATTTTCATTAAAGTAGTACTGACAGAGCTGTATTTCTGAAAGGACCAGAGGGAAGGAAGACCCCACGGTTTGCAGCACCTTGTGTTGTATCCAGCACAGCTAAGTGTTTTCTGCTTTTGATCCTACAATCTGATAATTCTGCTTGTTGTATTATTTATCCTGCTATTTCTGTTTTATATACATGGACTTTATTGTCAGGGCACTTCACATTTCTTAAAATGTTCCCCTCTTCTCCTTTTCTTCCCTTCTCCCCTTAACCGCTTCCCATTACTAGGAAGTTTTTATATGCTCTTGGGAGCAAGTGGTTATACCAGCTGCAGTCATGAGCCAGATATTGATTTTTAGCTTTCATGTAAAGTGATCTAAGCACCAGCCATTTGGTCACTATTACAGGGCTTGGGAGGGGGCCCTCCTACTTCCGCCATTTCCTGGTGTATCCATTCCATCATGTACTCCAGGATTGCTGTAACCAGCACAGTGTATCAGAAAATATATCATGTTTTGGGGTTCTAAGTCATTTTCTAGCAACAATATGTGTTTGAGAAATGCAAAAAATGCTCTGGACAGCAAATGGTTAAGCAGGCTATAAAAAAATTAACAAGAAAAACTGTAATTCTGCAGCAGTTCCAATCAAGAGAAACACAATAATATACTATAGTCTAACTGTATAATAAAAAAAAACAAAAGGGCTCAGACATGTCCATGAATATATACACACAAAACTGCCTACTGCAGTTTCAGGCTCCATGCACACTAGCAGGGTTTTTTTTAAGCTCAAAAAATGCTGGATAAAAAATTCTGGTAATAGCATTTTTTAGTAGCATCCAGAAGCGTTTAGGAGTATTAGCGCTTTATTACCATTTTACAGTACATTTAAAGTAAAAAACTAAAAAAGCTAAAATAAAAGTTGTTAGGAGTCAACATGTTTAAATACATCAGTGGTTCATATAGTGAACTTGGTGTAGAGCTATTCACCCTGAGGTCATCACAGAGGACAAGGGGGCACTCTTTACGTCTGGAGGAAAAGAAATTTAATCTCCAAACTCGGAAAGGTTTCTTCACAGTGAGAGATGTGGAATAGACTCCCTCAAGAGCTGGTTCTGGCCAGCTCAGTGGATTGCTTCAAAAAAGGCCTGGGTTCTTTCTTAGATACACAGAATATAACTGGATACTAACATTTATAGGTAAATTTGATGCTGGGAATATCCGATTGCCTCTCGGGGGATCAGGAAGGAATTTTTTTTTCCCCAGCAGGTGCTAATTGGATCACGCTTTGCTGATTTTTTTTTTTTTTGCCTTCCTCTGGATCAACTGTAGGTATAGGATTATAACTTTTTTTTTTTTCTATGGTTGAACTGGATGGACTTTTGTCTTTTTTCATCCGGACTAACTGTAACTATGTAAGGAGCGTTTTAGTAGCATTTAGCAGTGTTTAAGAGTATTTAGTGTTTTTTCTGCTTAAAACAATGCTCCACAAAATTCTACAAAACTTTTTTTTCTGCTCCTAGATGTGGAAGCTCAACAAATACCTAAAGTAGTGTGCATGGACACATAGGATAACACTAGTTTTCTTCTAGGAGCAGAAAAAAATGCTAATAGCTTATAGGAGCTTAACAAAACACTAGTGGGTATGGAGTCTCAAAATTAAACTATTACTCTCCTACTTTAGTGAATATTCTGCTACATCTAAAGATGGATAATCTTTTATATGCTCTGCTATGTTTTCTATTCTGTTATTTGGGGGGGGGAGGTTGTTGTTGTTTTCTGATTTTTGAATATCTTGGACCATGTTCACCATTCTCTTTGTGTTATGTTTCATTTTCTCTGAGGCATCTGGATCATGTATATTTTTTCCACATCCGCTAAGACAATTACAGTTATGTTTACCTCTTACCGTGCCTGTGTTCTGGTATTTCATGAGTCATTACATACATTAACAGATCTGGTTATATCTTAGTAATTCTATCTCTGCTAGTGCATTTGCTTCTTTACAATGTATTACTTCTACTGCAGAATTTGTATCCTGTGCTCGTTTGAAGTAGAAGTGATTTCATCTACTGTCTTGGAAATATCTGTATACATGTTATTTACAAAGTGCAACAGTTGCATTCTTGAGCTTGTAGTTAATCCTTTTTCTAATCATCTGAATCCAGTAACTCCAGGACATTTAAAGGTGGGAACATCATTAACAACAGTTTTGTTTATAGTTGTAAATGACTCACTGGGGCATTTATTCTGTTTGTGATGTATGCATATCCATGGAAAACAAAAACATATAGTCCCCTGTGTCTTCCATGTGCCTCATCATGAGCAGCAAGATACTGCCTGCCTAAAACTGCTATGGCAACCAGCAGTAGAACCAGCTTTCCATTTTGGCATTAGTTTTGATGGAAAGTATTGTGTTATCTGGGACTTGGATGATCACATTAGGAGAATCACTGATTTGATCATTTTTGATTTGTTGGTTTGAAAAAAACCAACTGTCGTCAAGAATAGATGATATATGGGTTCAGAAGAACTCAACATGTATCACTAACAAAGTTTTCTCAAAGGCTGCTGTGTCAATCTATAATACAAAAGCATGTGTTAGTAACACCTAAGTGTTAAGATTTTTTTTCCCATTCCTTCTAAAGTAGCACTGTCACTATAACGGCAGAACTAAGTAAGCACAGTGTGTAAAAGAAAATGCTTTATACTTACCCTTCCGGCAGCTCATGTGTTGAAACTTCAGCATTTTGCATTTCTCTGGCTACTGTAGGTATCCAACACTAGCAGGTGTGTGAAATACCTGCTCTCTGGCCACACAGCTCATAAATCACTACAGGAATTCTTTACAGTGATTGTAAAGGATCACTTTTTATTTTTTTATTTATTTTTTATTAATTTTAACAGTAACAAACCTTTTATACTTACTCTGGTTTTGCACAAAGCAGGCCCGATCCTCTTCTTGCTGGGTCCCTTGCTGGTGCTCCTGGCTCCTCTCCCACGCCGAGTGCCCCCAGCTTGCTATGGGGTACTTATTCGTGCTTGCTCCTGAATTGGCTCTGTGTTTCCCTCCTCATGTCTGTGATTGCCAACATTGGGAGCCATTGGTTATTGGCTATCTCTAAGCCAATGAAGAGGGAGAAAGCTGAGAGAGCTGCTGCTCTCATGCACATTGCTGGGTCGAAATCGGGGTCAGGTGAGTATAAGTGGGGGGGGGGGGGGGAATTCAATCAGAAGGTTTTTACCTTAATGCATGGAATGCATTAAAGTGGTTCTAAATGCTTCTGGGTGAAGCTCACCCCTCAGCCCCCCATAATAATTACCTGAGCCCCATCTCGATGCAGCAATGTGCATGACAGTCGCAGTTCTCCCTGGTCTCTCTCTCCTCATTGGCTCACACAGCAGTGGGAGCCATTGACTCGTGCTGCTGTCAATAACAGCCATTCAGCCAATGAGGAGAGAGCTAGGGGACAGGGCCGAGCAGCGCTGTGTGTGTGAATGGAGCACTCAGCAGGGAAGAGGAACTAGGACCGTCAGCAGGGGACCCAAAAAGAAGATTGGGGCCACTCTGTGCAAAACAACTGCACAGAGCAAGTAAGTATAACATGTTTGTTATTTTAAAAAAAATACAACGTTTAGCATTACTTTAAGGTAAAAAAAAAGCCCTGTGTCTTTAGGACCACTTTAACCTCCCTGGCGGTATTCCCAAGTGTAGCTCGGGGTAAAGTTTCTGTACCAAAAGCGGTAACCCCGAGCTACACTCGGGCTTACCATGCGGCGCTGCATAGGGAGTCCCTGCAGAGCTTACCTTGTCCTTCGCTCCTGCGATGTGTCCCCTGCAGCGTCCCTGGCCATCTCCTCCGGCTGATGACGGCATCCGGCTTCTGTGTTCCGGTCCCTGTGATGTCGGGACGTACGGGCGCCGGCGGCGGGAGGTTAAAACAGTTTAAACTGAAATCCATTTCAGATCCACTTTAGAAAATATTTTTTCCCCCGCTGATAGATCTATAACTCTGAAATTAGCAGTAGTATGATTGTATTTAATTTGTGGCAATACACCCAGTCTTCTGAGGTTTTCCATGGAGTCCCTTTTCATGAAGGATGCAAAGCTTGTTTTTAATCAATTGGGCATTGATTGCAATGATTCCTATAAAGTTCTTGGGAAAAGTAACACTAGAAGCATTTTCTACATTCACCCAGGTTTCTAGTGGCATCCACATTTCAGGACAGAGAAGTGATATGGAGGTTGGCAGGAGGAAGTACTGAGCAGAGTAGGGATCAAGGAAACGGACTCTCCCAGAAGAGTTGGTTTCTTAGCAGAATTCAAAGCACCAGGAATGTAAAAGGTAATATTACTCTCTTTTTTCACTCTTTTTTTTTCTTCTTGGCAGGGTCCTTCTAAATTGCTTATCTCTGCTTCTGAAAACACTTGTTGCCTTTCTTTCATTCTTATGTTTTAGCTTTAATACTTTCTAGGTCCCCTGCAACTTATGTGCACCTGAAAAAAGTATAGCAATAAGGAATTCTACCTCTTCTTTGATTTTCATTTGCTGTATGCTTGTTTCAGGTCTGTATGGAAGCCAGACGTGTAAGCAACTAGTATTTTCAAAACATCCACCAATGGCAGCTCTCATTTTTCTCTCATAACAGGTGCACTTTTTAGCATTGTACTAGTTACCAGGCCTATGTGAAATTCTCATTAGGATATAACTTAGCTTTAATAACAACCTAACTAAACATACTTACATTAGGTCCCAATCCAACTCAGCCATTGCAACATCATTCATTAGCTTTAGCAGTTTGCTCCGAAACTGGTACTCAAACCGGACGTCATCTTCTATTATAAGAGCTTGCTCTAGTCCCCTTTCAATCACCTAAACAAGTATACAAAAACAAGTTAAGAACATTTTTTAAGATCATACTCCACTTAAAGGTTAACTTAAAGCGGAACTTCACCCAAAAAGGGAAGTTCCACTTGTTTTTATCCTCCTCTCCTCCACTGCCATATTTGGCACTTTTTGGGGGGGGGGGGTACAGTGGGTAACTTGTTTTGACAGGTACTCTCTCCCACTTCCAGCTCAGATCGCAGTGGTGATCTGAGTCGGAAGTTTGGCCCCCCTTTCTTCCCCTGCAGTCTTTTGGGACCCTTCACAGGTCCCAGAAGACTGTGGGACCATTCAAAAAGCACAGCATGCTTCATGCATGAGCAGTATGAGTCACACACCATCAAAATAAAAATACATAATAAATACATCAGCCCACTCTTTGCTGTGCCAAAAGGTTCTTCTTAAAAGTGCTTCACCACTTGTGCCACTCCAATGCGCTCCCCACAAATCCATGACCTCCTTAATTAAAAAGACAGTCAAAGAAGGGCAAACTATATGCACTATATTGCCAAAAGTAGTCGGACACCCCTCCAAATCATTGGATTCAGGTCTTCCAATCACCTCCATGGCCACAAGTGTACAGAATCAAGCTCCTAGGCATGCAGACTGCTTCTACAAACATTTGTGAAAGAATGGGTCCATCTGTGAAATTTCCTTGCTACTATATTCCACTGTTAACATTTAGTGGTATTATAACAAAGTGGAAGCTAACTGGGAACAACAGCAACTCATGGCCACGTAAAATGACAGAGTGGGGCCAGCGCATGCACGCAGTTCGCAGGAATCACCAACTGACTGCAGAGTCAATAACTAAAGACCTCCAAACTTCATGTGGCCTTCAGATTAGCACAACTACAGTGCTCAGAGAATTTCATGGAATGGGTTTCCATGGCTGAGCAGCTGCATCCAAGCCTTACATCACCAAGTGCAATGCAAAGCATCAGATGCAGTGGTGTAAACACGCCACCACTGGACTCTATAGCAGTGGAGATATGTTCTCTGGAGTGACAATTCACGCTTCTCTGCCTGGCAATCCGATGGACATGTCTGGGTTTGGTGGTTGCCAGGAGAATGGTACTTGCCTGACTGCATTGTGCCAAGTGTAAAGTTTGGAGGAGGGGGGATTATGGTGTGGGATTGTTTTTCAGGGGTTGGGCTTGGCCCCTTAGTTCCAGTGAAGGGAACTTCTTAAGGCGTCAGCATACTAGGACATTTTGGACAATTTCATTCTCCCAACTTTGTGAGAACAGTTTGGGGATGGCCCCTTCCTGTTCCAACATGACTGCACACTGGTGCACAAAGCAAGGTCCATAAACACATGGATGAGTGAGTTTGAGGAGGAGGAACTTCTGGCCTGCACAGAGTCCTGACCTCAACTCGACAGAACACCTCAGAACACCTTTGGGATGAATTAGAGCAGAGACTGCGAGCCAGGCCTTCTCGTCCGACATCAATGCCTGACCTCACAAATGCACTTCTGGAAAAATGGTCAAACATTCCCATAGACACACTCCTAAACCTTGGTGGACAACCTTCCCAGAAGATATGAAGCTGTTATAGCTGCAAAGGGTGGGCCAACTCAATATTGAACCCTACGGACTAAGACTGGGATGCCATTAAAGTTCAAGTGCATGTAAAGGCAGGCGTCCCAATACTTTTGGCAATATAGTGTACGTCCTTAGGAATATGGTGGACTAGAGCTTCCCGAAGACGCTAAGTGGCGAAACATGTAGAGGCAATGAGCATGTTCGTCATATCTGGTTAAGCACTGACGTTATTTTCGGTTCTGGGGGATTGGAACTCACGCCGAGGTCCAGGAGGTACAGCGGCAGCACACATGCACTGAATGTATTGGTGCCAAGATACTGGGCATCTCTATTTGTAAGTGCATTTCTTATGTTTTATGCTTTATATGGAGATTTTTAATAAATACTACACTGTGAGAAACTATATTTTGTGATCCATGTTTCAATATTGGTGGAAAGCAGTTTGGTTCTGTGAAGAGTTTACATATAGAATAAAGTTGTGAGCAGTAAACTGGATTAGAGTATCTGGGATATCAAGCATTCTTTGACTGTCTTTTTAATTAATTAATGGTCATATATTTGTGGTGATTGCAATGGAGTGGCACAAGCAGTGAATCACTTTTAAGAAGAACTTCTTGGCACAACAAAGAGTGTACTCATGTATTAATATTTTATTTTATTTTGATTGTGTGGGATTTCAGCACATCTTTTCATTATCATTATTTTATATTTTTTATCCTAATATTTAAAGTCAGCAGCTACAGTAATTGTAGCTGCTGACGTTTAATTTTTTTTTGGGGGGGGAGCCTGGGGCTCTGCTTTAACCCTTTTCTCACAATTTTTTTAGTTTCATCATATTTTAATAGAATAACTTTTTGTCTTTACCTGATATTTATATGTAAAAATATGAGTTGATAGGTTATTCATAGACATAATTAAAAGCACATTACCCCCTGATTCTTCTGCAGAACTGTCACAAACCTAGGAAATAACCAAAACTAATTCTGTCTAATGCTCCCAATTATTGAAAGGGTCTGTTCTTTTTGCTGTGAATAATGCAAATAATCTATGCACATATTTGGGAATCTTTTATCATTCATAACATTTTTTTCTAAACAAAGATCAAACAAAGATCATGTAAAGAGAATACAGTTAAGGTGTCACTAAACCCATATCATAAAAAAGTTCTGCAAAAAACCTGGTTGATCCTGCTGCTCTCTATCTCCTCCTTCTGTCCATGTCCCCAACGCAGTTGGGGATTTTGCAGAGCAGTATTGGCAGCTACTGCACATGCTCAGCTTTGACTGATGTTCCATGCTGAGCATTCCTTACCTCCTCCTCCATGCCCACTAACCAGCTAAACACAATAGGGGCGGGACATTACATCATGATTGATGGAGGTTTCACCTCTGTGTTCACCTCTGGCAGAAATCTGTACACACCATGTTATTTCTATAAAATAATAAAGATTTGATTTCAAATATGTATTTGTATGGCAATTTAAAACAGTTTATTGATATTAGTTATTTATTTTTACTCTGTATTCCAAAGGCTGTTTTTTTAAATTTTGTGTTTACGAACATGTGACCAGCAGCAGAAAACTAGAAGCTCCTCCTGCTTCTGTTTCTCTGCAGATAGGCTGGGAAAGAGCTGGGTCATGTGACAGCTGTATATCAATTAGGAAAAAGGCACTTGGATGTTTTTTGTTATTAAAATAATTACAGTGCCATCATTTAAATAGAGAAAGAGAAGAGATAATATAAATTAAACAGTGTGTGTTTAATATCACTAAAAATGGTATTAACCTTAAAAATATAAAACAAATAAAATAAAATTGAACTTAAAGCAGTTTAGTTTCACTTTGAATACCTAAGGTGAACCATACAATTCCTTTTGCCATCCTAACAGTTCTGTGTATAGAGTGCTATGTGCTCTTTATTGTACCCTCTATCTTTTATTAGCTCTCTAAGAAATGCTTAGATAACGGCTGTAAAAAAAATGGTTTTGCCTTTAAAAGTCTACCTAGATATAAATCATCCATCCTTTCCCAATTGGCATGAAACATTCTTCTTTCTTTTGGCTAACAGCCATAATAATATATAGTTCCAGTGGTTTAGGAAAGGAGCACTGATTTCTGGGTGTCTGGACAGAATTACTACATGGTCCCACTGTGTAACTGTGGACATCTGACTTCTGAATGTAAAATTGATTTGTTATACAGCTGCTGTTTGGGGATTCTTAGAGTGCTGGGGAAGGAGAGAGTGTGCAATAAAGAGCTTACAACAGCCATTACATTGTACATGTGCAGTGCATGTGCTGTTAAGATGATCACACATGTACATGCTGGGCTGTATATGAGAAATCCATAGATTCCCCCATCCACGCTAAATAGCATGGATGAAGTAATCTCCCGCTGCTGGCTATTGTATTCTGGCAGCCAGCACCTGCGACTCTCACAATACCCAAAGAGAGATTGCAGCCAATTGGCTACAGTTACTTTTTGGCCAACTTTTTCCAGCTGACTTCTTTGACTTTTCAGTTGGAGATCATCAAGCCAGTTGCAGGGCCATCCACGGTACGAATTTTGCCCAATCCACGGGAATCACCTATAATTTGAGTCATGTTTAGGCAGCTTCAGATGGGATACAACACAAATAGTATGATTTACTGGCTTATTACCTCTTTCCATATATAATAATGACTAAGGAAACATCCAATCTCGCCTCTTGTTAGTGTTCTCCCTGAATACGGGTCATGATATCCTGGTATCACATCTATATTCAGAGCTTTAAGCTGGCTTGTATTAAGAGCCCTGAAGGTAGGAAAATCAATGATCAGTAACTATAACCAAGGTAACAATAACAAACAATTTATTGTACACACTATACTGTACTTTGAACTATGCAAACAAAATATAACAGACTGCTATGACTGCATAAAAAAAAGGCTATGGACTCAGCTATATTATGATGTAAAGGTATGTGTACATATGCAGAGACCTTAGACTGTAAGCTCTTTGTGTGCAGGGACTGATGTGAATGTACAATATGTAAAGTGCTCCTATAAAGTGCTGGTGCTATATAAATACCTGTAATAAATAAACAAATAAATAAATATACTGTAGATTAATCTGTGGGTGCACTTAAAAATGAATGGCATGAGTTAAGCATGGGTCACTACAGAGAAAATTCATATCTCTGGTGCTGTGAGTCCTGCATATCTTACAATGTTTAACTGCTGTGGATGTGTCCTAACACTACATATTCTGTAAGGATGCATTCACCACAATTTAAAGTGATATTAACTACTGCACTTTAACCCCCTTCCTGACAAGGCCAAGTGCTTTCGGCACTCTCACAGTTTGAATGACAATTGCCCGGGCATGCAACGCTGTACCCAAACTAAATTTTTATCTTTTTCCACACAAATAGAGCTTTCTTTTGGTGGTATTTAATCACCACTGGGTATTATATTTTTTTGCTACATAAATGAAAAAAGACTGAAAATTTTGAAAATAAACACATTTTCTTTTTTTTCTGTTATAACATTTTAAAAATAAATAATTGCACTTCATAAATTTAGGCTAAATGTATTCTGCTACATTTCTTTGATGAAAATAACCCAAATCAGTGTTTATTATTTAGTCTATAAGTTATAGAGTCCACAAACTATGCTATATATCTGAAAGTCGATCAATCTTGATGTACTGACTGCCTATCTCTCATTTCTTGAGGCCCAAAAGTGTCAGGACAGTACAGATAGCTCCTAAATTACACCTTTTTGGAAAGTAGGCAGTTCAAGGTATTTAGTAAGAGGCATGGTGATTTTTGTAACATAGTTAAGTGACAGCAGAAAAAAAAAGGTTTGTTTGTTTTGTTTTTGTTAACTTTATTGAGTATAGATCTACACTTGTCCCAAGCATGTTTGAAGCTATTTATTGTTGACTGGCTCACTACCTCTGCTGGAAGTTTATTCCAAGCACCATCTACTCTTTCAGTGAAATAGTACTAGATTAGTTTTGAACTTTCCTCCAGTTAGTTTAAGGTCATGTCCCCGTGTTCTTGATTTTTGTTTTGTGTTGAAAATACTGCCCTTTTGCAATTTATTTTTACATACTGTCACCAGTGCATTGCAGTGTCATCACATGGTGTAGCTGTGATCATGAACACTGACTGGTGACAGTACGAAAAAAAAACCTTTGAAGATTTAAATTTATTTTTATTATTACATTTTTTTTTCCATTTTTTTATGATTATTTTTTCACACTGACCAGAGCAATATAATGTTACCATAGTAACATTGTACGATTTTTCTTTGTTATACACATTATGATTGCTTATAGCAATGAATTTCACTGCTATAAGCAAGCATTTTACTGAATGGAATCAATTCATTCACTTTGTTTTGTTGTGATTAGCTGTGATTGGCTACAGCTAATCACATGGTACAGATGGGCTGCTATTGGCCTTGTCTGTACCATGTGACCAATCACAGTAAACAACATAAATGTAACACTGAATGGCACAAATCGAAGGCATTCATTGTTTACAATTGCCATGTGACCTGCTGTGATTGGTCACATGGCACCAGTCCAGTACACTGATCAGTCATCAGCTGTGTTCAGTGGACACAGACAGCGACAGATCACACCCACAGCATGGCTCGTTCCCGGGAGGACGTCATATGACGTCCACCTAGAACAACGAAAGTCCCACCCAACCATCAAATTGCTATAGGCAAGCCAGGAAGTGGTTCCATCCCCAATTTGTTAAGCACTGTCTACAGCGTATTTAATCACTTCCTGGGTATGCAGCTTCTTTATTTTTTTGCTCCTTTCCCATGATCCAGTTTAAGGTTCCATGATCACTGCCCCAGATCTCCTGTTTCAGGGTTTCACTCTTGCATATGGGGGGCTAGAGATGCATCACCCTACACTGTGTGCATCAATAGAAACACACAACTCTATAGTGTAGGATAGCAAGACACTCCCCTTCTCCTCTCTCCTTCCCTAGCTATCTCCACGTTAACAGACTGGTTTGAGACTGCATTGTCCACTGTTAACTCTTTCCTCTAAAGACTGGAAGATCAGGGAAGCAGTACTAAGAAAGCAGGAGCTAGCAGTAGTGCATGATGTAAACTGCAAGTGCTGGGGTAAGAATTTAAAAAATAGTTTACTTGGGAATGTTAATTTTATTGTGTTCAATGTTTTGTGTAGTGCATACTAGGCCCATGCTTACAAAAGTGATGAGTTATCTCTACAGTGACTTTGGGTTAAAAGCTGAATGACTATGAAAAATACATACATGGGAATTGCTTTATCTGTCAAAGGATTTGTAATTCTGTGCAGCCACAATCACGATCAAAGTAACCCTGAGACATCATAGCCTGATCCTCAACTTTCATTACAGCAACAGCACAACTTGGTCAAAACACACCTCAGCCTACTTACTGTACAACATCAGAGTACTGATGAAGTCATCACACAGCGTGCTTCCCTCCTATCCAGGGGCGGACTGACCATTTGGAAACTCGGGCACTGCCCGAGGACCCGGGGTCAGTAGGGTGCCCCATGAGCTGCCCCTGGTACCTTTTTCATAGGCTTTTTTTGAGTTTGGGCAAGGACACAGGGGCCCCATGATCCCCTGGGGTCAGTAGGGGGCCCCATGAGATGCCCCTGGTACCTTTTTCATAGGCTTTTTTCAGTTTGGGCAAGGACATGGGGGCCCCGTGATCCCCTATTGCCCCATGAGTTGTCAGTCCGCTCCTGCTCCTATCAACACATGTTATCTTACGTCTAGAGTTTCCCTTCCTTTTTCCAGTCCCAGGGCACCACAAGAGGATAATATCATGACAAATTCAGGTACTAACACTATTTGCATTTCCATGCAACCCTGTGCAGGCAATCCAACCAATGTCAATTGCAGATGCACGGACACAGACGATGCTTCCAATGTGAAATCTGTGGTGGTGCATGGGCCCGAACACACACTGGGGTTAATTTAGTAAAACTGGAGAGTGCAAAATCTAGTGCAACTCTGTATAGAAACCAATCTGCTTCCAGGTTTTATTGCCAACGTTTAATTGAGCAGGCTAAGGTTAGAAGTTAATTGGCTACCATGCACAGGTGCAATATTGATAAAACCAAGAAAATCAGAGCACTCGTGGTGAAAGCTAGAATAATTAGGCAATAACATACATATCCAGCAGTCAATATATCTGATTTAAAAGTTTAATAGATGGATAAAACCATAATCACCATATTCCAAAATATCCATGCAGTAGTGTGGCACAAGTAAAGGGACTGGCACAAGTCAAATCAAAGTCGCCATGAGCACTTTGATTTTCTTGGTTTTATCAATATCACATCACACGCCTAATGGTCATCGAAGCAGCTGTGGAGCTAGCCTTGTTTTACCCTACGTTGGTTGTGGGAATTAGTGCCTAGTGGTTTGTCTATCATGCACAGGTGCACCAGTTGCTAAGTGAACCAGCTTTAGTAAATCTCCCCCACTGTCTCCATTAGGGGCCATTGACTTGCACCTGCATAAATGTATCTGTCTGTGTATCAGTTGACATGAATGTGACTGCCTGCACAGGGATCCATGGAACAGCCGTCCACAACTGTATACTTTAGTACACCCTATGTGAATGATGCCTTATATTATTATTTTTCCCAAAGTTGGATAAAGTTATTGTGTCATAAATAAGCTGCACTCATACAGCAAAAATGGCATGTAGAATGTGACACTATTATACACTGTCATATATGCAACCATTGCATTAGAAGTACTTACTTGCCATCCACAGCATCAAATATCTTCACCTGAATTTGCAGCTCATAAAGACTACGCAGCATCCGAACACGCCGATCTTGGCGACGTTTTAAATTAATCAAGAAAACCTATTTATAAGGAGAAAGACAGATAAATAAGTTATATAGATGTATTCGGTTTAATGTTTTCAAGCATATACACTCATTTAGTATTATTTTGATGAATAAAAGTGATATATGTGAGTGTCAGGAAGCTTAGCTACGGCAGCCATATCTATGTGTACAGTGACACACAATTATTGCAACAGAGGCCAAGTGACTAAAATATGACAACAGATCGGCAGGTCTCCACTGTAACCAAGCCTGCCCACTGAATGTATGCAAATGCTATGTGAATGAATGAGAGACATATAACACTGTAGTAGCACTGTAGTAGCACTGTAGTCTTCTAAGGTTTGGACAAACTATTTTCAGGACTGCATTTTTGTTAGAAGTACAAAAAACACAATACAATTTGTGGCAAGATAATAAAAGCTGCAAAATGTTCAACTTAGTGTAAAAAAGTTCCATGTTTCCTATAATTCTCTTGTCAGACACCAGACGTTATTTTGTAGCATTCTATTGTTTCTATTGCAGTAGCATACACTGAAAAGGAGACATATCTATTAAGCTCAAAATAATCTATTATTACACATATGTCACTTTGCTTTAGCGGAAGTGGGGAATTCATCCTGATCCTACTGTACATCACATGACTCTTTGGATCAACATTTTTCTATTTTTTTCAACTTTATAACCAACACTTTATATTTGTACTTTTAGGTGTGCTTTACTCATCTTCCACTTTAATCTTCAGTCAGCTGTAGATCACCTGGTATGTAAACTTACAGGGCTATGAGTTGTTTATTCTGCCTTCAGCAGGGAAATGTATTACGTGTTCTCACTTCAATATTAAATTTGGCTACAAGATGGAGTCTGGAAAAAAACTACTGTTTTTAAGAGACAAGAAACTGTTAATAAAAGCTCCCATCATCCTTCATTCTAAGAAAAGGAAATGTGCATTCTGGGAGATCAGACTTCATTTTAAAGTATAACTAAAGGCAAATCCTTTTTTTTTTTTAGTTTTGGATGGAGTATAGAGGAGTAAGGGAAATTAGGGAAGTTAGGGAAATTCTGTGCCCCCGTTAGGGAAATTCACCTTCTCTGTTTGTCCTGTTTACCATTATAATTGAAAGTGAAAGTAAAAGAAAATCCCAAAATTTGGGTTGTCCCCAAAAAATTAATAAAGGGAGAAACCTTCCAATGGGGACACTAGTTCTGGTGACCTGGGGGTCCCCAATGAATTCTGTTCATTTTCAGGGATTTCCTCTCACCTCCTGATTGGCTATGGGACAGGAATGATGGGAAATCTGCACAGCAGGATACAGATTCTGACAAAAAAAATCTGTCAGGGGTTATAACCCTCCCTTGCTCTATCCAAAATGAAAAAAAAAAAATTTTTGCCTATAGTTCTACTTTAAGAACTGAAGGAAAGAAACCATAATTCTTTGCAGCACATGTTGTGGACTGAACTTCCATCCCCTACAGGCAGCATTGCTGGTGAGCATAGAGTTAATGCCATCTGGAGTCTATTTATTTAATTGTATTTTGTATGTCTCATATATTGATTGTATGTATTTCTCATCTGTTTCTTTCAAGTTTCATCCACCCTGCTTTGTTAATAAAGCTTCAAGATTACATTCAGTCTGGCCTATGGCAGAATAGAAGGCTTTAGCTGCATTTTGAGTTACACACAGGAAAATGTGTAGTGAGGACAGAACATTGTTGCAGAAGTCATTTAGTAGTCCTCAATCTTACGTTCTCTATACCAACTTGCACAGGCTTACACCAGCCCCCCACATGACATTGCTCAGAACCAGTGATTTGTACTGTCAAATTGACTTTTCTTGCCATACATGAGAGGACAGGGTACTTTGGAAGGTTCCAAGCATGCTGGAATGATTATTCTAACAATGATATTATCTATCACTTTTTTGTGCATGCTTTTTTGCAGTTGACTTAGCTTTAGGCCTATTTCTGTTGGACTTTTTCCTGTCCTATTTTTCTTTTCAGGTGAGTTGTACAGTCTACAGGGGAATGAGTCCACATTCTACATGCCTGTTGTTGCCTTCAGATTACTGTCACTAGGATGTGTTTCTGTGTGATCCTTTTATCCTGTTCTTGTCTTTATTGTTCTTAGTATCCTGTGTTTAGAGTGTTCCTAGGTACTTTGTCATTGGCAAGTTTCTCTTCCTACATTCTTGGCTTTGTCTGCTGTCTTGTTGGAATCGTGGTTGCTTGGTCCCTGATCCTGGTGACTCCTTCCTGTGACCTAGTCACCCTAGTACTAACCACTTGCTTAACCTGTCTTAACTAGTACTGTACCTGTCCTGACCATGGCTGTGTTTCTGACTATGTTTCTGCTCAGCTTCAACTGACCTAGCAAGCGACCTTTGACTTCTCACCTTGACTGAGAAATGGCCTCCTTGTTATAACGGATATATGGAAAATCATGCTATTCAGGAATCCAGTCAATGTTGATTTATAAACTGTAAGATTCTCCACAGACAGGACAAGTCTGCATGAATATATTTAAACAAATACAATGCTCACAATTTGTCTGCAATGCAAGTGGATTCCATTATCCCTACAGACTGCAGACCTCTACCACCCAATGAGGTCTAATGGAGTTTCTGCACTCTGATTGCAATGTATGTGATGTGAGCAGATCTGCTTGCTCCGCCACCTACAAATCTTTGACTTAGCAACTAAAAATGTGTTCCAAAAGAGATTTATTTTTTTCATGGGTTTCAAGTAGCACCTACCTCTATTTAACCATTTGCCCTCCAGAAGATTTACCCCCTTCCTGACCAGGCCATTTTTTTGTGATACAGCGCTGCGTTACTTTAACTGACAATTGCGCGGTCGTGCAATGCTGCACCCAAATAAAATTTACGTCCTTTTTTTCCCACAAATTGAGCTTTTTTCAGTGGTATTTGATCACCTGTGTGTTTTTTATTTTTTGTGCTATAAACAAAAAAGTCAGACAATGTTGAAAAAAATATATATTTTTTACTTTTTCTATAAAACATATCCAATAAAAAAATGTTAAAAATCTAATTTCTTCATAAACTTAGGCCAAAATATATTCTGTTACATGTCTTTGCTAAAAAAAAATAAATCCCAATACGTGTAAAATAATTGGTTTACATGAAAGCTATAGCGTCTACAAATGACGGTATATATACTTGATTTTTTTCTTTTAAACTAATAATGGCGGTGATTAGCAACTACCACAGCAGGCATTCTGACACTAGAGGGGACTGACTAACTTTTTGACACTTTCATTGACATGCCCAGTGACACTAATACAGTGATGAGTGCTAATGAAAAGCACTGACAGTGTACTAATGACACTGGGTAGGAAGGAGTTGACATCTGAGGGTTAACTGTGTGCTGTGTGTGTTTTATAGTGTAAGCACCCAGAGGAAACCCACGCAAGCACAGGGAGAACATGCAAACTCCAGGCAGGAGGTGCCATGGCTGGGATTCGAACCAACGACCCTAGTACTGCCAGGAGGAAATGCTAACCATTTAGCCACTGTGCTGCCCATGCTATGCTTTATTTTCATAAAATACTGTTACAACAACAGATAATGCATTGTATTTCAGCATGGGTACCTGCTGTCTCCAACAGAGGTGTGTGGACCAAGCTGACAATGCAGGTGCACACCTGGAAAACAGGCACACATCCCATTTCAGGAAACATCTGGAAAAGATTTAGGATCAATAGGTCTAAAGCCGGCCATACATGGGTCAAATTCAGAAAGATTTTTCTTTCAAAAATCTTTTCTAAGAATTTCCATTAAAATTTCGCTCCATTAGTGGGTCACAGAAACAGCTGATTTTCATGCAACCATCGAATATGACTGATCGGACGTGTTAGAAGTTTTTTTAAAAACTAAGAAATTGCAAATCAATGATGGGTAAATCATGCGAGAAACAGAAACAAAACAAAAGTGAGCATGAGTTGTGATGTGGAAAGAAAAGTAAATTCTTGGCCACGAAAATTCTTTTCTGTAGCAACATGAGGGGAAATTGAAGGCTTGGTTGGTTGAATTTCAAAATCGATGGTGGCACCAGCAGATTACAAAACGCACACCAATTCCAATCTTCTAGAGAAAATTTGTTTGAAATTTGACCCATGTATGGCCTGCATAAGTCCCCTTTCACACTGATGGTCCGATTAGGTCAACCTGTCAGTTTTTCAGGCGGACCCAATTGGACCATTCATAGCTCTCTATGGAGTGGCAATTTTGTCAGTGGACATGTGTCCGCTGACACCTGCCGATATCATATCCTGTATGCTAAAAACTGACAGATGGGAATCCGTTCCCCATCCGTCCGGTGGATCGGATGACAGTCGGGTGGAAATGAACAGGCGGTCCGTTTCCATCCAACCACCCCATTGAAAACAGCAGGCTGACACAGACCTGTCATCCACTTGCTCAGCGGGGATCAGTGGAGAGATCCCCCACTGAGCAAGTGCATCCGCTGATGGGTCTGCCCTGTCCGAAAAGGGCCTTATTCTAAAGAAAACTGTATATTTAAGAAAAATGTAAAGAATGTTTAGAATTGCTTTAGCATATTTAGGTGTATTTGAGATTACAGTGATTACATTTATATCTTCTTTATGAAAATTGCAATACTTTATTTAGAGCCCCCTCCCACCATTAATGCAATGATATAGCTTTTTATGTTCCTGATTTAGACTTGCTCGGATATGCAGAGAAGAATTATTGTCTAAAGACAGGTTATATTTTTTTTTTACTTTTTTCCTTCATGTGTATTATTTTAGCGCCATGGGGGCGCCATAAAAAGTATTGCTTATATTTTAGGAAAAGCCACTGTTTTACTGTAATTCCTTGGGTTTATGCTATGTAGTCAGTTGAGAAGCAAATAGTAATTAGAGGTGTACTGTAAGCACAGTGAGCTGGGGGTGAAAACTTTAACTAGGAAATTGCCTCCATTAGATTAGCAGGCACTTTTGAAAGTGTGCAAATACGTTGCTAGGTACTAAAATGAATTAA